TAATGTACCACGTCCACGGTCCGACTTTGAAAATAATTATGCATACAATAGAATCCAGGACAAGGTGCTTTCCTATTAGTCTTCCTACTAATATGACCAAGTTATAAAAACAAGGTCAAACAATTTCTATATACGTATTTCATTTGAAGGTTTGTCTAAATTAGACTTACATAAAAAGGCTGATTTACCGGCAAAAATAGATTCAAATAGACAAATAGATTCTTTTTCAAGCTAAAAAGCCAACAAGGACGGAGCTGTAAATAGATAGACACTTGATATGAACGTTATTTCATAATAAAAGTAAATCCTTACAACAATAGTAGTGCAGACATGCCTGCAAACACCTCGTAGAAGCATAAGCGAATCCAGGCAACATTTAGGCCAACAGAATAATGGGGAAAGCATACATTCATGCAGTCCGTAGAATCATTAAAATATACAATTAAAATGAATGTAGTCGAAGGCTAAAAATGTTGATGAAATACTATAAACCTCTCCTAAAAGGTAAATAAGCGTACAAAAGCAAATGGATGCAAGAAACACGGGAAATGCAATCAGAGCTTCCTCACGACACAACCTTGACCTTGTTTTTGCAATTTAGTCTGAGCGTCATGGAGACCCTGTGGGACGTACCTAATCCCGTGTCCTGTGAGATTGCATCCGTGAATTCCAGCATTGGACCATTTGCCGGATAAATTCTCAAACGGGAACATTGGCATATCTACCATCTAAATCATACAACGTTGAATGAGACCTGTGTGTTCTAACACGAAGGGCAGTATGGATCAGAGTGTTTGGTTGAGAGTCAATTACGACTAATGACCGGAAGATTGACTAAATTAACCGGTTAGTCAAAATAAGTTGGTACCCCACTAGACTAGAGTCCACTTTGGTGAGAGCACTTTGGATTGAGAGCAAACGGATAAAATGATATCAATTGTACAGAAAGATACGCAGAAAAATTTTTCATCCACAGTTGCATGTGCTGGAATTTGGATAAAATCCACCATAAAATTGGTGATCAGATTTTCGATATTACAATCTAAGAGGAGGATTATGAAGCTGCTTTAGATGAAAGGGTAATTCAATGACTGCACGCCACCCCGCGGCGGGATGGAATATCTTTGTTGTGATGTAGGCCAGACATGGAAAGAGATAGAACAGAAGTGGGAAGACAGGCAAGATTAAATAAAATCTCGTTGCATAGTCATGGGAAAATGAAAGAAAAAGCATCCGGAATTTAAGTGGTGATTGGACAGTGCTTTTTGAAACTGTGCACGAATAGATGATTTTATGACAGATTAGGGCACCGGAGATTCAACCAATACAGGTGAGCAGTGAGTACTGCAAGTAGAGTAGGGAGGAGTTGACAATTATACTACTAATCGTCTCTTGCTACACTATAACCTATAGCCTATTATCCTTTGTATGCAGCCCATATAAGTGTGCGTGTGTGGAAAAGGGATGGAGGGATTTAATAATGAGGCAGGGTTGCAGCGAGATGGAGTGGAGTGACGATATGATGGTGGGGCAGGTGCCGAGTAGAGTGAATGGATGGGAGATAATGTATAAATACAATAAGGGCATAAACTGCCACTACCGGCCTAGGCGTGAGTGAAGATGGAGGCAGAAACGTGAGGATGAATGTGGATTAGGAAATGATGTCGATGGTTGCAGAAAAGGGCAAGCATAGGGAATGGAGAATAATGAACTGTTCTAGATGAAAGAGTGGAGAAAGGAAAGATGGATAAAGGCATGAGGATGAATAGTCAGTGTAAGAATAGAAGAGGCCCTAAATATAATAGGATAGAGGGACAAGCCGACACGATAATGCATTTCAGCTTATCGTTGGCTCTGCAGAAAAATCAAATGAATGTATTTTTGCCAACATATACAGGAGCTAGTAGAGAGGAGAGCGTATGCTCAGACCAGTCAAATGAACAAATACAAATATGTCTATTTGCGTAAGTATGTGTGTGTGTGTGTATGTATGTATATATGTATGTATGCGTGCATAGCTTTGCATGATATGTGGACATGTAGTTGTGAAGATTTTTTTTATAAAGGCAAAAATAAATAAACTATAATAAAATCAATAATGGAAATCAGCTAAACTGATACAGGCAGAAACGTACGTAAATACACACGAGCAACGGCATAATCATATAGACGGACAAAAAAAACGCATGCAGAGAAAATGCGGGCAAACGCGGCAGCCAAAAATTGTGCAAATTTATGTGAAAAGGTGTGGACGGTATATGCTCACAAAATGGCCCCTAAGGAAGGAAGGCGGATAACTTAATTCCTAAAAGCTTAGTGAACATTAAAACGGCAACCAGCGATAGCATACATAGAATGGCCGGGATGGTATAGGGATTTGGGGGCGAGTGCAGAAATATCGTAATCCTCCTTCTCGTCATGACGGCCGAAGACGAAGTAAAGGCAGCGAAAGAATTTGCCTCAACAGAGTCATAACGAAATTGGCCCGATTCCAGCCAAATCTGGTGAACACTTCGAAGGCCTTAATGTGCACAATGGACGGCAATTCGGTCCAAGGCGCACCAATTGCTGCTGCTCAAGCAGATCTAGCCCAACAAATCGGCTTTTCGCCCGTGGCCTTCGTTGAACCCCTTCATTGCACACAATGGACCAGTCTGAAGTGGAGAGAAAGTGGATGAAATCGAGAGAATAGGAAAGCAAGAGACAGAGGACCGGCTTAGGGAACAGGGCACATATGAAGAGAAGAGTAGACAAAGAAAAAGCCCAATTTCCACGGCTAGTGGGCAAGAAATGCTCCTGGCGATGTAGTCTTGTTAAGGTGTGAGCAAGGGGGGCGGAAGTGTGGGGAGAAAAGTTGGCCTCCTTAGAGCGTGGGAGATGAAACGAGCTAAGACGAGAAATGGATGACAATAGGTCAGTTTGAACTGAGACGCTTGTACAAAGTACGAAACCGCAGAAATGCCAGAGGCACACACTAACCGTAGCAGTACGCAAACACGAGAAATAAATAATGGCAAGTACAGATGCATACAATAGCATGTAAGGCAAAATACCAATACAAAAGGTTTGCGTAAACATCTCTCAATATATATATATATATATATATATTCCTATAAACAGATGCATGGATCAAAGAATGAATAAATGAGGGTGTGCAT